TCTATATCACATCTGTACTTGAAAAATTCCTCAAGGCTGTTGCTTTCATACACAGAGAACAGATACTAGGCTAAAGGACAGGACTTCCTGTATCTTTGCAGCAACAAGCAGTTGTTGTTCCTAAGTCTGAAATGTCAGTGTGCTTGGAGCCATCTTTCCCTCTCAGATAATCCCTTTCTTTCTAAAATGAAACTTCCTTCACTCATTTCAAAAAATGTTGTGGAAGCAATATTTCCACAGGACTCTTTGTCTCAATGCTATTTCCCCTGTGGTTTTAAGTCTAAGGATCTTTGGTGATCTGGACACTCTTTCCAAGATGTTATTGACAGCTAAGGAAAAAATAAATTTAAGAAACTCAACCATTTGTGTCAAAAAGAACCAAAAAAACAGGGTGGAAAAGTTTTAGGATTTTGCAAGTCAAGGAAAAAGAGCGTCCACAACCAGACACTGAAGTAGAATGGTTAACTGTACTTCTGTGACACCCTTCCCTTTTAGGTAACTCCCAACAAAGGGGATAAACCCCAGCCTTCTACACTTGCATAGCCTCACTGGTAACAACACACTCGTTTTGCATATGAACGTCACATACAGCTTAGAATTCTGTATGCGTTGTGGCCCTGATCTAGTGAAGTCTGACACAGACTTATCCTTTTTCATGCAAGTATTGTCATTGACTTCAGAGGGACTATTTCCAGGAGTAAATTTAGCCATGTGTGTGACGACAGGATCAGGGAGCTGGTATGAGCATGTGTCCCTGTTTACTGTACAAAATAGAAGACACACATTGCTCTTTTTTCTGTCATCTGCTGTGGTGGAGACCTCATTCTGCAACAGACAGAAGTGTGATGTACTGGCAGGTGGTCTTTATTAGAAAGATCGTTGACATCGTCAAGCATCTTTTGAAAGGTGACATTGCAACTAGAAGGTTATCAGGTCAGAGCCATGGAGTCTACAAAAATTTCTCTGACAATAGTTTAAATAGATAATATCTCTGACCCTTTCTTAGACTTACAAAACACAGGAGATTAAAGTTCTTCTGAGCCTCTTTCACCTCTCCACGATCCATGTAGACACTTCCCCTAAGCTTTGTCTTGAAGTACCCAGCAGAAGTAGTGAAGTTGTGAAAGAGCTACTTTAATTATAAGTACCATAGTAATGAATTCAAGTACACTCATTTATCATAAAGGGCTTCCCCATCTGTCTCTAAAGTATGCTCAAAAATGCCGTGTATTTGATAACATAAAGGTTGAGAATTTAACACAGTTTTAAACACTCCATTTTGGTTAGCTTTTTGTAAAATTGTACAACTGCATTTTGACTGAAAGAACAGATGGGTGTGTGTGTGTGTGTGTGTGTGTGTGTGTGTGCACACGTGCGCGTGTGTGGTCTCTTCCTAATTTATTTGCACTTCAACCCATTGGGATCAAGCTGCAATCCCTGTAGGCAAAAGAAGATTAGGGAAAGCGACTGACTGTTTTTTCCCAGACACAGAAGGGAAAGCCACTTCTCAAGTACTGCAAGTTTTTCTGGCCACTGTACAAATTGTTCCTGAGTATGGAGAGTTTCCAAAAGACCTAATTAGCAACTCGCTACAAACATTTCTTTGCATTAGCTAATGATCCGGCTACACTTGTAAGCAAACAGTACCAACATATCTAATCAATGCAGAAAAACCAACAGAATGCCTGTTAAACATCTGGATGTAATTTTCTAGTTAGACTTAGAACAAAATGAAAACATATGCAGGTTTCTTTGATCTATGCCTCAACAAAGAAATTGTCGATAAAAAAACCCACTGGCCAGTCAATGTGTCATTTTCATAAAGCTTGGTCATTTCTCTTCAAATGTTCCCAGTTTAATTTTGTTGGTTTCCTGCAATCTCCAATTTTACCATACTGTGTGAAACCACAAGGGATTCTTTGGATCCAATTTTATTTGAGGTTTTACTGTTGCACGATCTGCTACTGACTTTTTTAAAAATTCAACTCAGGGAATTTTTAAGGGTAAAAGAATGGGGGAAATCAATACAGTAGTGATGGTAAAACTACCTAGTGCAACTTTTTGAATGTTCTTGCCTACAAGGAAAGCTATTAATTAAAAAGAAATCAAATTACAAAGAGGGTACCCAATGGCTATTAGTGAAAAGACAACGAATAATTAGAAATGTAATTGCTTTACCCTGCTCACATCATTTGCACATCATAAATATTTTAAAAGTGATATTGTTTTGCATGCTCTCATAATAATTATGATTCTTTCAGCTCTATTGGTAATCACTACTATGCCACATGCACTGTATGACTCAAATACATTTTTTTTCTCTATTCCACCTGTGCCATCCTGCCATTAATATATATATATATATATATATATATAAATAGAACAATCCCTTCCCCCTGTGAACATATATATACTTTTAAAATATACTCTCTGTTTCTCTTTCAGTTGAAAATACAATGATCTCTCAACATAAAAGTTTGAAAACATAAAATTTATTGAATTCTGTAATTGGTTCCTCCACTGATTTGCTCTCACTACAAAAGTAGTAGAATGGTGGGATAAATCACAGATTTGCTAAATTGTTTCCCACCCATCTGCAGCAAACACCTAGCGATTAACATCATCAACATTTTTATTATATGTGTCAATTTGTGGGAAGTTAAAAACTATTGCTTGTAAATATTACTGTTAAGAGTAAAGGAAAAAACAAAACAAAACAAAACAAAAAAACCCACAATGTAGTAAACAGAACATCATATAATACATCATCTCCCTAAAGAAGATGCTACATTTGAAACCCTTTCAGTATATTCAAACTACATTTTGGACCCAACACTGGGTTTTTTTTGACTCAAAGCTCCAACTGCTTCCAGTGTGAATTTTCAGTACACAGTCAATGCAGGATTAAACCTTGGTAATACGAGGTAGCAACACTTTATTAAAATGTCTACAGTGAAAAACAACTGGTTTCAAACAGCAGTCAAAGGGATGATTAAACAAGAATGGTTTGGGGTGTGTGTATGTGTTTAATAATCAAGGCAATCTTTCTGTTTCTAAAACCTGAGACAGTTAATGTCAGTGCAGTGGCTCTCATTAGAAAAAAAAAAAAAAAGAGAAATCATCACATTTGATTCTACTACTGCTTTTACAGCTCTTCTATCTCAGTTATAATGGAGAAGATTCAAAAAAAAAAAAAAAAAAAAAAAAAAAAAAAAAAAAAAAAAAAATCAGGAAAATAGAGCTTTTCTGTTTGAGTTACAACATGTCTTGGATGCTTTAATGATGACAAATACAGGTTAGGAGACATTTCAACTTTCATGTAGGTGAGCAATTGAAAAAAAAAAAAAAGCTTTTGTTTATGTTCCAAAACATAGTGTTGTTTTAATGTCGTATCTGTTAATATCTCATTATCTACTTGTGCCAGCAGGTTAAGCAAAGTACAACCAAAGTTAGGTAAGCATTACGTTATTACAGACTCCATAGCTACTAGGTATACACACAAAGTATACAATAATACCTTGCACTTTTATGGCATCTTTCATCTGAAGATCTAAGTACTTTATAACCATTAATTATTTAATCTTTCCAGTGCCATAAACAGAGCAGTGAGTTGGTTAGTCCAAGACTACAAGAGAAGAGCTGGGAACAGAATGCAAGATTTTAAATTTTATTTATGCATGCGGAGCACCAGACAGGTTTACATTCCTGTTCTGGGAACCAAAGTCTATCGAAGGTCACTATCAAGGGTATTTTGCCTCATCTCTTTAAAACATTAGAAGTCCTCACATTTATTTACATATTCACAAAGATGTATCCACATATATTTTATATATATATATAAAATATGAACAGACACACATACATATGCATAGGTACAGACACCATTACACGAACACGCACACATACATGCACGCAGGCACATAGATGTGTCTGTTTTCACTGTCAAAACTAGAGTTTGACAGTTTGCAGAAGACTGAGGGAATTTCATTTTCTTTTCCTTTGGTCATTCCTATGTAAAACTGGGAATAATGTAGCATGGAAATTAGCACTCTGAATGAGTAAATCTGTATCTTGATATTGCAATGCATCAAATTTCATACTAAATTTTAAAAAAGATTGCTCTTTCTTTAGGACACAACACAAAGCATAACAAAATTCTAAGTAAGTGTATCTAATAAATACTAATGGCGAATGGTAAGAAAATGGAAATTATAAAAATACCTTTACTGTGTTTAAATGATGTGATACAACATTTTAATGCCCTTTTTAGATAGTATACAGGTATACTAACAGCATGAACATGTCTTAACGCGTTAAGTCCAAAGGTACCAGTATGTCACACTATCATGTCATTCTGCTGTGAATACAGTGGTTGTTAATAGTGGACATGTTTTGAAGTTTGCTTCCCACTTCAAGCTGTGTCACAATTTGTCATCTCAGTAGCCACACAGAGAGCCTGTGGAATTGCTTTGACCCTCACCTACACCGAGTGGGCCTATAAACCATTTACAACAGTAAAGTTCTTGACAGCTTTCCTCTAGCAGACCTCTCTTATAAAAAGCCAACCTCCGCCTGATCAGAGGATCACTCTAACCAACATTTCAGTTGGTGTAGCTGAGCGATGCAAACAAGTGTGAGATTTTATCCTTTTTTTTATGGCATCTTCTGTATAGCCGAGAGCAGCGTCAGCCGGTGCCATGTTATCATGTAAGAGGGGGAGAGTGCTCCATCTGCCCGCCTGCGTTACAAAGCGGATGCCCGGGACAGGACCGTGTAGCTTCTCCCCCCGGGTGCGGGGCTGGCTCCTTCACGCGGCCGCGGCCGGGTTGCGCACCCCTGTGGCTGAGGGCTATAGGAGGAGGGTGCCAATCTGTGCGCTGCG